AGCACAGCAAATACCGGATCTACCGACATAAAACAGAAACTTGGAGAACAAAAGAAACAGGCAAGAAACCACTTCATCGGAATCTTTTGGAACTACTAAATTCAACAGAGGTAGAAGAAAGAAGCAAAAATAGTCTTAAAAAATATCAACCTCTGCAAGTATTAGGATATCTATTCAAGGTATACCTACTAGTCTAACTTTAAAGTCTAACGGTAAATGCGCAAAAGTATCGGAAAGGTAAAGGGATATATAAGTATAGCAGTGGGTCGAGGATATCGAGGACAAATTCGTATGGTGCTGTCTTTAAAGTCTCATGAGAAAAGATATGCTTCATTTCTTTACTTCTATCTGATCCTGGACCGACTTCCCGAACCTCCGCAGATTTCATATGTTTGCTGTCTAATTGCCCTATTCTCTTAGCCTTCCTATACTCGATTCACCGCCCTCACCCTAACTCCCTCATCCTTCCCATCCCTGACTCATTATTCTCTCAGTTTTTCTATCCTCGACCCATTGCCTAATCGCCTCAATGTTCCATTGTTGATTTATTGCCTTATCCACCCGGCTTCCTACAGCTGACTCGCCGCCCTAACCCTAGTCGGCACACTGCGCTGTTTTCTTTAGACTACCTATATCTTTGTTACTTGCTATAAAGATGATTGCTTTGGTAAGATATAGATATTGGTGTAGAGAGTGTGAAACGATGATAAAATTGTTCGAAGTATTAAAATGGCGTCTTATCAACATCATTTTTCAAGCAATTTTCCATAGAATTGTTGTCTGGAACATAAAATTATAATTGGCCTACCTAATTGATGGCTTTAAAATGTGATAATTTACTTTTACAGGTTGTCGTAATGCCTGCGTTTTATTTGCCATACACTGAAATCTGATTAGTAAATACGCTCAAATAGTTTTGAATAATATGTTACTTTTATACCTATTGCATGCTTGATATTAGACTACATAATTTAAGATTCCGTATGTTTGTTATTTGCATTTTACAACTTTCGTTAAACTATTTGTATTCCTGTTGAACACAAAAAAAGAAAAAGACTAAGGAATGTTTCTTTGCATTGAAGTATATTTTGCTTTCGTTTATTGAATTTATAAAAAAAATCAGTGTTTATCATGTCAATATGTGAAATATCAATTTATTTACTTATTTTTCACTCTCGCGTACCAGAGCAGCGCACGATATTTTATACACCAAGTAAATGTGATTTGAATTTTAAAATCGAACGCATCTTCGAGGCAATCTGTCCAGGTGACACTTAGTGGTGTGACTGCAATCACCTTCTTGATTTGGAGGCCTTGCACTCTTTCTATTATTCACATTAGCACTCTTTCCTATTTTAATTAGGCTACAACTACAGCAATTACGCATGCTTTCCTTTGCTACAAGCCGCATGTAAAGAAAATATGTATTTGTAACTGAAATCTTATAAATTCTACAAGATACGAAGTATCAACGCTTTGTTCGAATACTGGGGAGGTGCAGAGACATGAGTATGTCAGATAAATCGACTTCCCATCATGTGCTGGTTTTCACAACGCTGGGCCTGTCCAGTTGTATGTATATCATTTTGACTTTTGCCATCATTCACATTTATCAACGAATCGACATCAGCAAAACTGCTTCATTGTCATACTATTTTACAACACGCGGACCTGTAGTTGTTCCATGCAATACCTTAGTTCAGTGCTTTTTAACCGGGTATACGATATACCCAAGTGTATACCGGATCATGAGAAGGGTAATACAACTAAGAAAGGGTATACGAAGGGTATGCGACTGATAAAGTGTATACGAAGGGCTGTACAGCCTAGGCCAGGGTTCCTAAACTCTAATATAATAAACTATAAAATATTCAATTGGAGACAACAATGCAAATGCGTAACAAAACATGAAATTAAAATTTCGTTTACAGAAAGAACCGACTGAGCACATTGTTACATCACAAATTATATAGAAATAGATAATATAGGCACGTATTGGGTTGTCCTACGTACGATGAATATTACACCCGGTGACACTAGGGCCGTTTACATCACTTATATCATGCGGGCAGTAGCCAATTAGATTCCATGGTGATATTGTAGAATCGTCAGTTTTAGTTTTTTTACGATTTGTGCTTAACATTTAATGTCTATTTAAACCCTAAATAAACATTGGTAATTGTAAGGTATACAACTTTTTGAAAAATTGTAAAAGATATACCACGATAAAAAGGTTGAAGAACACTGCCTTAGTTCCCTAGTTACACTTAGTTACACTCGTCTTTGAATTTGCAACTGCGTAAATGGTTTCTCCTATTGGTGCCTACCAGTATTGACTATTAGCACACTTTTTGCGAATTGCTAAGCACTTTGGCTGTATGTACCAAAACAATTTGGCCGACTACAAGAATGATTTCTCGCGAAATACTCGAGAAATATGTAATTGCGTGAGACTTTTTTTTTTTCAACGGGTTTTCCAGACACATAAACTACTGAAAATATAGAACCAATCATTCAGACAAATTGCTGAGCGTTCACAGACTATAAGAGATATGCTTCATCAATAAAAAAGTCAATATTTCCAAACTGCATTTCAAAAATTGCAATAAGATGCTTCAATAAAAATATTCACGATTCACCTCGACATTACGCGTGCAAAAACAAGATGGCGGAGATTCAAAATTATTCTCAGAACCGATTCAAATTATTTACTATTCTATTCAGAATGGCATACCCTACATATAATAGGCCCTCATATATGGTGATTTAACCGTGCATCGTTCGTTACTTTGCGCTTCGCTGTATAGGCTCGAATGATAATTTACAAATTGTCAAAAACTTGAATTAACTCGAGTTATCTGAATGAAATAACTCGGACGCAAATGATCACCAATGATACTCAGCACAGGGATCGACTCAACTTAGATTTGAGGTTCGGGGATTTCCGACAGGACCAGTAAGTGCTTCTTCAGAGTATCATTCCCACTTGACTTTTCCCCATCTGCCAACTAGTTATGATGTCCAAAACAAATCAAATATACAAATCAAATCGAAATTAGTTATATTCAATATTTTAAATCCAAATATAAGGAAACAACTTTGATTTAAAGTTCAAGCAGAGCTGAAATCCAGCGTGCTCTTTGTCCGCAAAGTACGATATTTTATGAGGCTGTAAGTTTTAAGAGAACTCTAGAAAGTACTTTGATTAAAAATGTCATAGCCAAGGACAAAGTGTTATATGTCCCCGAATCGCGGTATTTTTTGCATTATCATGTTGTGTTGTCTCAGATTTCAGAGAAACCGGAAAAGTGCTTTGCTTTAAGTGCTTTAAACCATGAGACGACCTTCTAAAAAGGTATTCGTCGGTAAAAAAGTTAAAATGACAAAAACAAAAGAAATTCCGCAAAATAATAAAGTAAAAGTAATATAAATTTATTCCGGCCAATTTTGTTTATATCAAAACTATTCTGTACTATTTTATTTATGGTAATTTTGATTCTAAAGTTTTCCAAACGAATCTAATTTGCATTAAACGATTTATCGCAAAATGACAAAATACGGGTCTGCGGAATAGGAGCAAGTTGCCACAAAAGCGGGAGTATTAACTTGTCGGAATTGTAGATTTTCTTTCGATGGTTTCAAAATAAGTCGGAACTTTTTCATAAAATAAAAAGACTTTATTTTACAAAGCGTTTGTAACTGTCTAATGAAGAAGTTCTCAAACTGGGGTTTGTGGCCCACTGGGAGTCCGTGATGATTGCACAGAGGGTCCGCAACGATATGAAAAAGTCTGATCGATCTTTAATGATTGATTTCAATCCAAAAGCCATTGCACCTTTTGGTTGAGATATGGGAGGCAGGTTTTTCAGCTCTTACTAATATGATGACAAAATACAGGTTAAGACTTGCCGTAGAGTCGGACCTACGAGTTTGCTTGTCATAAATTGTCCGCAACCTCATCCTTCTCATTAATGTACTTTGTGTTAAAATGGAAGGTTATTCCTTCTCGTTATGCACAAAAATTGATAAGGATGGGGTTCCTTCAAAACATAGACTGGTAACAAGACGAGAGGCCGTGGTTCGACATATGATTAAGCCGTCTTATAGGATTTTCTCTCTCCCGGAAATATTATGTAAATCATATCCGAATCTTCTCGTGAATCTTCGAGTTGGTTTGTTATAAATTGTCAGCAACCTCATCCTTCTCATTAATGTACTTTGTGTTAAAATGGAAGGTTATTCCTTCTCGTTATGCACAAAAATTGATAAGGATGGGGTTCCTTCAAAACATAGACTGGTAACAGGACGAGAGGCCGTGGTTCGACATATGATTAAGCCGTCTTATAGGATTTTCTCTCTCCCGGAAATATTATGTAAATCATATCCAAATCTTCTCGTGAATCTGCGATATTTTCTCACTCTTATACGATCTCGTCCCATTAGAATTGGGTAAACTTTTCAAAACATTGTGGCCTCTAGATAGAGATATGGATCAATATGCTAATAGGTACTTGCCACCATGATTAGATAAAAATATATCGCCAATCCATTCCATATTTCCAGTGGGTAGTGATGGTGAATAAATATGATTTAATTCTTCTCTGGGTCGTTAACTCATAACTTTTTTCTGTGTTTGAATGTAATTTGCGCTTTTACGCGAAGTTCTCGATGATAGATGTTTAGACAGAGTCGCACTCAACAAGCGGTTAACGGTACTGTTAACACCCTTTTATCTTTCTAGACAATCAGAGACACTGATAATATTGAAAGAACCAGAATATTTTTTGTCTGACCAAACCAACCCGATTTATTATCACTCTACGTTTTGCAAGACAATTTTATTCACACAAAGTAGCAAATAATACTTTCTGCACTGAAAGTTCAAATTATTTTTCCTGAATTTCATTTGTTAAGTTCAGTTCGTGAAAAATAATTTGAACTTATATTGACAAAAAATTTTGAAATGATAAAATTTAGAAACACATCTAAAAAACAAAATAGCAAAGTTGATGAAAAAATTGTATATCACAATAATTCACATACAAGAAAAAGGAAAAGCGAAAAAAAATGAAATTTCTTGCTATGTTTGAGTTACAAAATATAAAACTTATTTATTTTGAAAGACAATACAATGCTGTTATTGATTTTGTTAAATTTTTAACATTTTGTTCAAGTGACAGTGAAATTTCAAATTATTTTTCAGCTTTTTTAACTATCAATATAATTCGAAACTTCCTTATAAATTCAAAAAGCTCCATCATCGTGACGTTTTAAAGGCATTCATCAAATAAAAGTATCGATAAATTATACAAATTATACGAATTATAAGTAGTTACCCTACACCTCAACTGAATCCAATATGAGGGTTATATACCGCATGCCGGTTTTATTTACTTCATATGCTCGTTCAACTGTTGGCCGTGGACATAGTAAGTTCGGGTGTACATTAGGCTGCAAGCGGGGCTAATGAATATTTGGGAATACAAGAGCATTGGCTTGTTCAATTGTGGAAATAGTATGTTTTGATTAGGTTACCAGGGTGAATAACAAATACTCATAACTCAAGTATTTATACAGGTTTTGATTATGAATTATTCAATGGACAGAGTTATAATTCATTTTCACAGATGGCTCCGAAATATCCATAGGTAGGGGCATAATTATAAATCCCTTGATATTTGTATTCCGGTTTTCGATGGACACGAACAGCAACAGTTGTCCACGATTCTTGGGAAATCGGATAATCAGAACGCCAAACCTCAGTTGGCAGAGACATAGCTTGGCCTGTCGTTGAATACAGCTGACTGTTCTGTTGAAATATAAAATATATTATGAGAAATATAATAAATGACAGTTTGAGAATATAGTTGAGTATGGTTGAAGCAGTAATCCTTGACATATGATCTGACATAGCAAAACAAACTTATTTGGTTTCTAGTAAGAAACTGAATGAAGCGTGACGTGATTATTCTGCTCAGTCACACCTCAGTGATTACCGTTGGAGGATGATAATTGAATGAAATGGACACTTAAATCAAATTAGTTTGGATTAGTCTTCTCTGACTTAATATCAGAGCTGTAAAGTTGAAGCGTTCCACTGGTGTTGGAGCAAATTTTGAATTTCCCGGAAACATTACATGAAAACGAAAGTTTGTGGTTGAATTTTTGATAAAACTGAAAAACGACGTCAAACGAATTTTTTAAATCCGATATGAAATTTTAATTTAATATCAGTCTGGTGTAGTCAATGATATAAATGGCTCAATTTGAACTTCTTTATGAAGCTTTATTGGTGCAATCTCAAGATAAAATGTAATAACACATGATAATGCAGACACAATATCGCCCATATTTTATAATGATTTCATGTATGGCGACATAAGCAGCATGATTCAGACTTGACTTACCTCGTAACTCATTCCCGTACAAACAAAAATCAATGACTCTCCATCAGGAATCATTGATCGTAAATAATCTCGAACCAGATTGAAGTGTGTGACGTCATAAATGTTAGCAAGTTTGTTTTTGCAAAGAGATTTAGCGACGCTGAATGTGACGTTTTTCACGTCATAAACGATCGCTCGAAAACACTTCGAATTATAGACAACACCGCATTCTGAAAAAAAATAACAGTCAAAAAGTTTGAAGTCAGATATTTATAAAACAATTATAAAGCAGATTAAATATTTTTACGTTTCAACTAATAACCTTCATTCATTTTTTAGTTTATTACCATAATATAAATGTGAGCACTCACAAATAAAGTAGACGTTTCTCTGAGCAAATTACGATCAACCACTGAACTGTTAAAGCTATTGAAATATAACAGTGAGATTTGCGCTGGTTAATACAAACCGGTGGGACTTGAGGTTAATTACGATCAGAATAAAGCTATAACATATTGAATTTTGGATAACTAGGTTTAATAATAAAAGCTTTTTGTTTCAACGACACGAGTTCATAGACAACCGACATGATCGCCAGTGGATGCCACGATTAATCAACAGTTTCAGTGGTTTCCTGCAATGTTTATTCGCATTCAATGTGTAAAATCCTCCCGGAAATTTTAGAAATAATAGCTTGTTGCCAATCTGTGATTGTTTATGCAAAGCCTTGTTCTAAGTGAAGGAAGGGTTGAAACAATAGTCTTTCATCTATCTTTGGTTGCTTCTGTAGAGCCTTGTTCAGAGAGAATGTGTCAAAACTGCCGATAATACCAGCATCTGCTAACACATTGGTTCTCAAACTGGGGTCCGCGGTCACTGAGGGGTCCGTGAAGCAATTTTAACCTCGGAACAGAAGCACATTGTCTCAAGTAAATTTTGACGTCGTGTTTTTACATTGTTTCTACAAAGCACGACACGTAACAAACGTTGATGAACGTGGCAAGTACCATAAATCAGAGTGTATTGTTTATGGAAGGCGTGTGCATCTGATTGTAAACTTTCCCGGGTTAATTTAATAATGCCCCCACTCGCGAGACACATACGACCCGAGTTCAAAAGAGAGTACACGCTGAATTTAATTTTTAGGCGAAAGAAACGAAGGCAACAGGGCCTGAGTAATGGAGAGTGAACTGGAAAAAGTCTGGCGTCGAATCTACGCGCTAGCAGCAAGAATAAATACGGTTACGATAGGGATGGATATATGGCCCATTTCGCTATTTGAATGGCATCCTTCATAGTGGGCTTTCAGGCTGCCATACGGACATCAGGTTAGAAACGAAAATTGAATGATCTTAATTCCTAAAAAATATCTTACTTGTGCACGCTGGTGTTGTGGACCATGAACCGTCAGCCTTGCATGTTCCCATGTGTTCCCCTTCCAAAATGGAATCATTGCTGCAAGAGTAACTGACCTCCTGATCTTTACTGTACAATTCTTGCTCAGGAGAAATTGTTGCATTCTCTAGATTTCGCTTCGTACATGGTGTAGCTGCAAGAAAACAGATGATCAAAAAGTTTAACTTAACTTGCCGATTATTTGCTTGTGATGATTATAAATTTGTGAAATTTTTCTCCACTGTGAACAAGGCTTTGTGAAAGCAGACTCTGATACAACAACATTGTCTAGCCCAATTTATAAACCCGATTGAAATGGGGTGTGAGAAGAACGGAGAGATCTTTCAAATCTTCAACAACTTTCCATTGACTGAATAAATCTTGATGTACTTACCTAGACCATAACATTCGGAAGAGTTCAAAGTTGTTATGTTGTCTAACTCTACATTCCCGGATGCCACAAGCTCAAGTTGGACCTGAATGAAATAAAAAAGATTAAAGTTTGAGCAGGGCTGCGAGGTAGAGTCTAGAGTGGAAGCTGAGAATGTTTTCATTGATAAGTCGGAATTAGACTTTCCAACTACGATGTCAGCAACCTTTTTTTCGTTTGAACCAGAGTTGGGTAATTATATTCAAAACATTTGTCAATTCGGAGTCATTTCCGGAATGGAACAGAATTGCGAGTGATATCTCTAAATTCATACATGCGGATTGGAAAGATGATAAACCGGCTAATCTGTGTTCCCAGTTTGTAAATGGATTCTAGAGAAACTCCAATAATGCAAAAAAATGATCACAACCCTCTGTACGCTGATGAAGCAAGAGCTCGCCCTACAATCTCCTATAAAACTTTTGCATAATGTGAGATGGGATTCACTTTCAAAACCTTCACGATTTCTAAAGATTTTCGCTAACAAATGTGTTGCAAACCTCGGTATCTGCAGAGTTTTTTTTCTTTAAAATGAATTTCTCGGTCTTCCAGGTAGTCGAAGCAGAAAACGGCCAGATTGCTTCCCTAAAAATTACAAAACATATCATTGCTGTCTTTACATAGTGAGAATTCAAAAATAAATCAAAATTAGGTTTATTCTGCGTTTTAAAGACCCTCATTTGTATGAAATATATTATTTAGTTCTTCTCCCAAGCGAATCAACTGTAACTGCCTCAAGTCTCCCGCCAATCAGTATTTACTAGTGTGAGATGCACCGCTATAGTTATTCAAAGTTTCAGCAACTCTGCACATTAGAGTGGTTGCTAGTAACTTTGTTCACAGATGATACTCCGAGCAATTTTTTTCTTTTTAATAATCTAAAACAGGGGTGTGCAAAGGGCTATATACAAATAACTGGATGAAGCCGCGGGTCGCAACTTTATTTAACATAGGCTTTGCGTGACAACACGACATGCGTTGTTCATAGAAAAAAAATTGAACCGAGGTATAGGTTTTGAAACACAAAGGGATTGGAATTACTCGCACGTACCAGATTGAACTAAAATAAAAATTTGTTCGGAATGCCGCACAAAACTGGCACTTCTCCGCGGAAGCACAATTTTGTTTTTTTGTTGGTCTCATTTTGCCGCTGACGGCCGGTTGCACACCCTGAAAACATTGAATTTCAATTTCCGTTATTGATTATTAATAATAATAGTTCTTTACTGTATGGTGGCTGCCAAAACAAAGCTTGCTTCGGAGTGAAAGCGGCAAATAGTCGGGCAAAATATTAAATGCAGTGTTAGCTACTCACGTTACAGTTCCATTGTTAGCTTTGGCCACCAGTTCTCCATCAGATGTCCCTTTTATGGCGACACTCATGCATACTTCCTCGTTGTTAGCCAAAGCCTTGGGTAAGGATCTGATTGTACCAGTACCAGCAAGAACATGACCTTGGATGAATTAGAATAAAAAATGTGGGGGTATCTGATTTAAGTATTCTAGAATAGTAATTTATTCCTAATTTTGTATATATATTGATAAGTTACAAGCACTCACTCTGTGTGGTATGAGAGAGTCATGTTAAAAAAATTACCAGCTCTCACCTGAAAGTAAAGTGACAGGCACTCCCTCAGAATTAGAGGGTATTCAACTTTGAGCAAATTTATGGGCACTCACTCAAAATTAAAGGAGACTCGTCTTGAACCAAGTTATGGAAACTAACCTAAAAAGGAGACTCATCTCATGAAAAAGAAAGGGGGGACTCATTTGTAAGCCAAGATACATGCACTCACTCTGAAGTGAAAGTGACTCATTTGTAAGCATAGTTACGGGCACTCACTCAAAATTGAAGGAGACTTTTCTCTGTACAAAGTTACATGCACTCATTGAAAAAGAAAAGTGACTTATTTGTAAGCGAGGTTACAAGAACTCACTTTAAAATAAAGGTGACTCATTTATGAGCAAAGTTACGAGCACTCACTCGAACGTAAAGTATATTTATCTTTGAGCAACGTTACGAGAACTCACTCACAAGTAAAAGTGACTCATTTGTAAGCAAAGTTACAGGCACTCACTCAGAAGTAAGGGTGACTCATTTGTAAGCAAAATCACAGTCACTCACTTAGAAATAAAGGTGACTGACTCATTTGTATGCGTTAAAAAATATAGAAACAATACCTGTAAAGTCTTTAACTCTGTATTCTCTCTGAAATGTTCCATTAACTCTGGTGTAGCCGCATGTTGGGTTGATTGAAGACTCAAAATCACATGTGAAAACATCTGAATTACACAAAAAAACTTTTGTAGAGTCAGAGTCTCGTATTCTGGCCTAAACTGAATAATATTTTACTCTGAATAGGACTGTAAAGTCGGATGAAGTTCACAATCGACATCGAGTTGAAACAATTTTTACATCAACTCAGCTTTGAAGTCCAATGATAATCGAATGTCGGAATGTCATACTTTCAATGGTGACAAATCAAAATTATCAATTGAAACTGAAGAAGCATATTTGCTGAACAGTCTATTTAGAAAGGCTTGCATGAATTGGACTTTAAATGTAAATTTCTTTCTAAATTAATGTCGGGGTTCAATTAGGAGTTAGCTCATATTTCAAGATGAGATTTTTAGTATTATCACATGAGACAGGGTAGCCAATGGGACCTTTAAAACCTAAAGCGAACCCCACCAGTGGTTTCGAAACCAGGAAATGTTGGATTTAGAAATAGTTAACTAAATATTTGTTTCAGATACATGAACCAGATGATGAGGAAGCCGTAAACAACCAGCGGTGACGTTAACCACTGTATGATTGCGAGGAGTCGAGCAATCCTCTCGTACATAATTATTCTTTATTGGACACCGAACACTACGAAGTTAGGAAAATTATCCCAGAATACACAGCGCTATGTCAACACTTACCTACGCAAGTCGCCACGTCCCCCCATGTTCCTTTTTCATTGCATTTTCCTATGTTTGATCCTTGAAGAACGTATCCAGCATTGCATGAATATCTGATAGTCTGACCAAACTCGAAGTCAGGTGCGGTCGTAGTGTCTACAGTCCCGTTGTCTGGAGCTTTAGGTGCTGGGCAGGTAAGTACTGTAACTAAACATTGAAACAGTTATTAGGTGCAGATCAGACTTTTCAACAAATTTTATTTTCACTTTCTTAACTACAAACCAGAATTCTGAACGGGGGTGGGGAAGGTCTTTGGGCCAGGGGCCAAAAATTTTGCCCAATTAGTGTGGCAGGCCATGCATGTGTAACATGCATGCGAACAATATTTACAATGTTACAAAAGCAAAAATTGGAAAACAATAAGCCCCGTGTCAAAACTAAATTTAACCGTAATCTCAACAAATTCCTTGAGTTAATATAACCAAAACATCAAAACTTGGTTTTATATTGATTGTGGCAGCATCAGGCGGGCCAGATTAAATTACCCAACAGGCCGGATTTTTCCTGCGGGCCGTAGTATGCCCATGTAATATGGAGAGCCTGGATGAGAAAAACTACAACACGTCACAGTTTTTCCTGCGGTCAATCGGCTAATGGATAAAATTGTACAAATGTGTTACAACTCACTTACATGAAGAAATTATATATATTTTTAAACTAAATTTAAAAAAAATTTGAATAGTGTCAGCCACCATTAAACTTGCAGAATTTTTTTTTTTTCAGCATTTCTCCCGGGTGAGTAACGGCGATATCTGTGTCTAGTAAGCGTGGCCTAAAAATTTTTGCGCCGTGATATAGTGCAGAATAAAATTTCCTCAAGATGGCGCCAATGAGCGTTGCCTTGCATTTAGGCTGTTGGATTCTATCGTTTCGGCGTGCGACTCGAGAAATCGGGTGCTGGTATAGTTTAGTACCACACACAGTTCATAACCGTATCATAACCATTTGGGCATGTGGTATTCCTCACCACCACTTAAATACGCCATCCTAAAAAGATCCTCCAAGATATACGGAAGTTTTTGCAAGATTTTTTTTGGAGTACGTAGTCAGATGAGAGTCAGCAATAAAGCATGACATAATGGTTATGCCACGCCGCTAGCAGTACGTGTAGTGCTAAACTATACCAGACACCGATTTCTCGAGTTGCACGTCGAAACAACAGCACCAAAGGGCATAAAGAGCGGCAACGCTCAGACTATGGACGTCATGTTGAGGCAATTTTGTTCTGTTCCATATCAAGGCGCCTTGTGGGGATAAAGAAAGTCATTTTTACAAGAATAATATTCTTTGAACAGGTTGATATTTTGTAATCAAACAGATACAATCAGTGTTTTTATGATTCGTTTTCACATTGCACTCCAAATAAGGTGCCAGACAAAACAATTACCAATACATAAGGATCTACTTTCCTGTGAAGTATCGCAATTATTCGCATGCTGGGGAATTCCTTATTAAGATAATTGCCTTTTCACCAATTACTATGACTGAAAAGGACTTTTCAGATATATATTCTAAAGCATGCAATACCAAAAAACATAGATTTTCTTACCCTGGGGCGTGGTCGTTTCTTTGCGGTCGTTTCTTCTTACACCTACAACAGAGGGTGGCACGGAGTTCGTCTTTAATTTTTCCATAGTCTTTTTTAATTGATAGAACTTAGTTTTCATCCCGTCTAATTGTTCCGTTAAAGCTGCGAAAAATAAAAAAAACATAATTTAAATTGAGCCCTCAGTTTTACAATCCGTAATCAGTGGATTTTTGTTAGAAGATATGTCCCCCTTTCTCGATTAAAAATAAGAATATGAGATGATTATTGCTAAACTACACGTCATGATGTGATCGTTGAAATGACGAATTAAAAATATAAAATGATTTGAATTTTACTAATGAAACGATTGCTTGGGGGCGTGTTTGTTATCAGACTGTTTGACAAAGATGAAAACACAGCAAACGTATTTGGAAGGAAATTATATTGTGGGCACGAACCTTCCAAAGCCTTCTCTTCTTCTTTCGTGCACTGTCCATTCTGAAATAGAACAAAAGAAAAATGTTTGCATATATTGAGTTGAAGGTTGCACATCGCTAAAGTAAGGCCTTAGCTTAGAAAGTGTTCTCCGTGAAAAAGTGTTCTCATGGATTAAAGTGAAATAAATACCACCAATATGAAACTACTACTAAAGCTCTCACCGTAATTTCTCTCCAAGTAGGTTGATCGTCGCAAACCATAGGCGTCCAGCATTGCTCTCCTGTTAGAAATGAATTAAAATTAGAGATCGAGCAAATTGTTCATTTTGAAATAAGTTTATAACAGATAAACGAAAGTTATGTCACTGAACTTTTTTCATAACGAGACTATTTCAGTACCTATTTCCTTAAGTCGTGCATTCACTCATTCCATATTCAATTTCATACTGCTACCCACGTCATGCGAACGCACTATTTTCCTCGATGATGATTGGTCGAATCAAATTTGAATTATTACGCCCACCATTGGGGAACCTGATAATGTTTAGCGGTTGTACGGAAATATTGACAAAGTTGGAACGTTTTTCTTATGGATACAGTTTTGATGGATTTGGGGTTAGGGTTAGGGTTTAAGTAGATATAATTCCGCATGATCAATTAAAATCTGGTACATTAATTTGTGAATATACCGTTAATACTGATTACTAAATACTGAAAAGCGCTATAAAACCATGGCAAGAGCTGCCGCGGTTCGTTCGTGGCAGGAGCTGCCATGAAGTGGTAAGAACTGCGCCTCGTTGTACGGGAATGGGCAAAGTTCTGATCCATACCGGCGATTTCATTTCTGCTTTCTGAGAATAATTTTAATTTTTCTAGCCAACAATAAACTCGGGCGAGTTGAATACCCTATAGTTTACTGCTTTTATTTATACGCCTTTCTACCCGAACAAGGCTCTGTGCGAGCAGCCGATGAGAGGATCACCCCTTTTCAAACGTTTTGGTTTTAAACTTAAAATATCGTCATATATACCAGGTGTGGCCAACACGTTGATCGCGATCGACCGGTCGATCGCCACGTCTCGAGTCGTCGATCGCGTATGATTTCAAGTGAATTCAATGAAATACCTCAAAAATTGCTCTGAGCCAGTTTCAGGCAGCGCCTGTTGTGTGTTTTGAAACATGAAGATAACAGTACTGTACCAGCACCAAATACGATATACACATACAGTATTTGAGTCTGGTCAACCCGATAGAGCCTATTATTACGTAACAAATGAAAGTTTCGCCGCTGCCAAGGTTTCGAAATGATGAATTTATGAGGAATTTTCAACACTTACGACCAAACATTAGTCAGCCTTAGATCTGAGTTGTATGATTCGAATAAATCTTAATATGATGAAAATGTTTTCCAGGTACAGTTACATGATCAAGTTTACAAATTAAATGCGAAATGAAAATGCAAATTTGTGCGGCGATTTCATTAAAAATCACAGAGTCGATCTTATTGGTAGCGGTGGAGTTTTTTGTATGCGTGTGTGCAGTCGTCTGCATATTCAGTAATCGGTTGATTTTGAGTAGGACGTTATTACCGATGAATCGCAAGCTATATTGAAGATTTTGGTCGATCGCAAGCAGGTTTGCCACCCCTGATATATACACTAAAATGTTCAAAAATGAAAAAAGCGAGCAGACACTGACACGTAATTAGCTGCAATATTTTGGTTGGGCGTCAAAATTGTTGATTCAGCATTGCTTATTCAGTTTACCACACCCTGGATGAGCTGGTGGGTATAAAATGGAACTCGAGATTTTACCCCGCGATGCCAAAATATCCGAGTCCACCCTTTACCAATAGCACTCTAATCTATGAGCAATTTTTCACTATAGAACATTTGAGTGTATATGACCATGTTTAAAATTTAGGTTTAAAAACCAAAACGTTCCAAATAAAAAAAATACTCGCGGGCCACCTTCACGTGACGAAATCAGTCGCGGGCCGCAAACGTTTGTACCAAACATTATTACCAGATAAGTCCTGATTTTGGTGTAGGTAATTACATAATACATGGAAGGCGAGTTTATTAACATGAAACCAATCAAATTAATAATTGCTTTCTTATTTCTGATTGGTAGGGCTGGCAAATTATTCGAATATTAGAATAGCGGTTCACTATTCGAATATCTGGTAAACGGGGCGTGGACATAACACTCTCGGGCGACCGAATCAAAGAATCAATCATTACACAACACACTTGCGGTTTTTTGGCAACCACGCAAGAAACACACACATCACGTCAAAGTTGAGTGTTATTTGCGTTATAGTGTTTCTATTCATTCATTATCAGTAGCTATGATACTGCTTTAATGTTTAAATGAGCATAATGTGCGCCAATGTCGCGGCAATATCAAGTTTTAGTGGGCCCTTTCGTAAAATTTGAAACACCAATACATGTATTTAATGAAGTAACATAACGACGATTTCTGAACGAATAGTCGATATATACTGATTTGTGACTAATCAGTAGCAATGCCATTACGTCAATTTCATCAGAATTATTGAGGAATACGCAGTGACGACATTTTCAAAATCTTATTTAACGCGAACATAACATGAACAAAAGTACAAACATAAAATGACAAGGAGCCTGGGGACCAGTACCCAAGATATTGTTGACTTTTTATTTCACGTTGGCGATAAAGACGATCGAAGCCGACACGGAAGAAAGCAATCAGAATGAAATTAATTTGCAAACTTAGGCTCCAAGTTCGTTTCTATGTTTTCGCTCAGAGTTTGTTCCCAATGATCGCACAATATCTTTATAGTTCGTCGAACAGAGAGCACAGTTTTGCGAGAAATAAAAAAAATGACGTTTATGCCCACCAGGGTGCAAGACTTGACACATACGTAATAATAAAAACCGGCATTTGAACGTAGATAGATGACAGGAATAATCACACCAAAATCCTGAAAGATACTTATGTATAGTAAAATAAAATGTAGGTAAAAATTTAAAAAGTCTGCTTACAAAATTTATAGGGCAGGCCGCGAAAAACACTTCGGCGGGCCGCATGCGGCCCTCGGGTTGGGCAGCTTGATCCACGGTCAGGGCGGGATTCAGACGATGAGGGGCCCTAGGCTGCGCTCTTCGTGAGGCTCCTCTTAAACAATGACGTCATATAGACACTGTGACGTCATGAATAAATTGCGTGGCATTTTAGCTACTGAAAAATACGATTTCTAACCGCCCAAGTAGATTGGATAGTAGAGTAAAAATCTCCGGCCGTAATAAAACGTCATCACACCAGAGTTTTTTCAAATTTAAACAAATTCATCATTCTACTGTTTTTAATTTTCAGAACGGTAAATAAATTTGGGACGAGAATTTATTTGATTAATATCAGTCTGATAAAATTCTAAACCAGTTTTATTCTAGAACAATCTTTTACAATTCAAAAACGACTTAAAACAGAATAATAGTTCAAAATTTAATGCCTAGTGCCCTAAGATTTGAGGCCGCAAGACTTCGGCTTACTTGACCTGGTAACATAGCCCTGGTTACGGTACAGCAACGCATTCAATACGTGACAAAATAAACGAGGTATTCGGAGAAAAAAGCTCTCAGTTAAAATTAACAATATTTTTCATATTGCAATTTCAGTTTAACTTTCATCGAGAGACGGAGGTTCGCCTTATTATTACACCGCCATACAGGCTTCCTTTACGCCGGAATAAGTAAATATTCCCCCCTGTACAAATATGCCAGTCCTGAAGCGAGAAAACGGATTTAAATTTTGCCAAATGATTTGTGTTTATTCACAGTTACGGCGTGCCGCCTATATCAGATAATTTGTCGATTTACGAATACATTTATAAGATGTTAAAATTTGTTGAACTCAACAAATAAAGTGTTTTGTTTTTTTCACCGTATTTTTGCACACTTTTTTCGGTGTGGTTTGGCAAAAAATATTGGAATTTATAAAATAATGTCACCAATACACTGTTACACTAGGAACGTCTAAGTATTGTTAGACTTTCTGGATTCTATACTCAGAAGAGTATGAAGCGTTCATGCCCTTTAAATATCAATGTTCTGATCCTTGTGGTCTTTATATAATTTTTAATTAAATAATTCCTCTGTACAAATCACTAATTTTCATATTTGAAAATCGATGGGGGAGATTTTTAGTATTTATTTTATTTATTGCTTTGTGAAATCAGCAATTATTATAAGCCGATTAAAAAACAATACTCGCGAAGTATGTGTACCAGGTTAGGGTTAGGGTGTGTTAGCCAAGTGAATATTTTTCTGTGCTGCGTGCTTTTCCTGTTTAAGATTATTATCCATATAAAACGTTATGCATATTTCTTTGTTTAAACCAGAAAACATTCAAGAACAGTATAATATTACATCAAGATATGGACTTGTTGCGACCCTGCTGCTCAACTGCAGGGGTATTAATATGATTGAACCGATGGAAAAGAAAAAGCTTGATTAAAATTGTGATTCTACTTTATAGTCCAGATTTCAAAAAGGGTCACTGTCACAATTTTGGATACCTTTTGATAACGAATACCCATCGCTAAGTATTTGAGCAATCAAACTGTTGTCTGTATGTCCAGCAGTGAAATCCTCACTATGAGTTAATTGTGTTTGTGCATGATTTGGGATGTACGTGTTTTTTATGCGAGATGTTTTGTGCGTCCCTTTCTTACGAATAGTGGGTGCCCAGCATTGCATTTCATTACTCTAAGATATTTCAATTTTTGGCCAGCACATTATTTAATAAGTTTTCTGCGTGTGAAATGTTTTTAATTGACCCTTTATGTCTAGAAGCATATTGAGTGCCTGACATTGCATTATATTACGCAAATATATGTTATTCTTTTCTGTTCCGATCATTTTACTTTTTTGCCGGTCCGCGAGTGAATTAAATTTAATTTTACCGGTGCGCCAGGGTAGAAAGGTTGGGAACCAATGCTTTACACAACTCGATGTAGTATATGCGAACAAAATAAGTTCCTATTGGTACACATACTTCTGGAGCGACGAAAAATCCGCCTACACTAACACTATGTGAATTTTAACACAAACTATTCCAGAATATTATTCATTCACAATTATTCGATGTGCAGCTTTATTTAGAACAGCTTAATTGTCTTGCCTAATTTACTGAGGCAAAAGTTTTACGTAATGTAAGAATTAGCAACTGGGTATCAAATATCCAAAGAAAATTAATTATTCTATCGCGTAGAGGTGGGCAAGGTTTTGGGACCAGGGTCTGGTGGGCCATGTAAGTGGGACGAAAAAGTTATATTTTATGAAAAATATTTACAGTGTTACAAAATCAAAAGTGAAAAACAATAGGCCTTGCGTCAAAACTAAATTTAATTGAAATCTCAATAAATTTCTCGAGCAATTTTTAGCTAAAGCATTGAAATTTGGTTTTAGTTGGGTCGTGGCAGAATTAGGCGGACCAGATTGAATAACCTAACGGTCGGATTGGCCCGCGGCCCGCAGTTCGCCCATGTCAGATATAGTGCGCTCCCTCAAAAAAAATCCCAGACAAGCAAGCAAACCCAACAAAGCATGCATGGTTATACTGACCTTTTATCAATAAACAAGCCTCCATCAACAGTATGAGTCCGATGAAACTGTGTCGAATCGGAATCTTCATTTTGAATCCAAGATTTTTGTCAACTTTGCTTCGATGAAAGTAGATTTCCGAACAGCAAAGCTTAGAATGAAGCTTCAGTCTATTCGCGTCGGAATATATCCTATGCAAGCTCACTCACTACTTTACAGCGGAAAGGAAATTGTTGTCTCTCTTTTAAGTTTCAGGAGACGTGTTGCGTCACAAAAAGAGTGTTTGGGCTGCTCTCTCTATCTTTATAAAACGATGAGGACGACGTCACTACCATGCCTGTGGGAGTCATATTTGGTGAAATTCCGGTATATTTTGCGCAATATGGCATATTGACCGCCGCCATGAATTCTACTCTATGAAAATACAGGCCAACATGTCTTGCCGGCTTTCAATATTGCGGGGTTCTTGGCGAAACAGATTCACCTAGAAATGTAGATATAAATATATATATAACCAAAGACTCTGCATTCCTAGCCCCCTCCGAAACTGGATAATTCCTACTTTTTTTTGAGCATTTTTTTTGACATAATTTTGTTTTTCTTGGGGGCGAGGGCTTGGTACAAAATACTCTGATTTCACGGCACTATTTTCAACTAGCAATAACACTTCGGAGGCCCACCGATCGATATACAGGATTTCGTACGTCGAATATAGTATTTCGGAAGTCGATATGAGATTTCGGAAGTCGATATGAGATTTCGGACGTCGAATATTGGATTGCAGACGTCGAATATAAGATTCTAAACGTCGAATTTAGGAATTTAGACGTTGAATATAGTCTTGTGGACGTCGAATATAGGATTTTGGACGTCGAATATATGATTTTTGGTCGTCGAATGTAGGATTTTGGAGGTCGAATATAGGATTTTGGACATTGAATATAGGATTTCGACGTCGAATATAGGATTTCGGAAGTCGCATACTCGGTTAACCCGCGTCAGAAAGCTAGAATAGACAAATATCAGCGACGCGTCGCCAAATTCCAGTTATTATGAAATAGAGATTTGAACAACCTGGGATTCGCTTCGCGCAAGACTCGTAAAGTAACTTAAAGCATGATTTTGTTAAAATTCAAAGTTAAAAGATAATAAAAAGGAAAAATGACATCATTATTGACTGATTTTTCGAGAAAATCAGTATGCCTTAAAGCGCACTTTAAATCCTTTTACATCTTAAAAATTAATCGTGCGGTTATAAGCCAGTTACACAAATGGGTGCTCCCGTAGTATGTGCACCAAGATAGCGCACAACCTGAACATAGTATGTGTACCAAGTTAGTATATCAGGTTGTGCGCCATCTTGGTGCACATACTACGGGAGAGGCCACAAATGTATGAATTAGGTAACGCTACTCTCAAAATCAGTATCAGAGCGGGCTAAGTCTCTAACCCAGTGCGACTTATGTATAGAAAAAGACCCATTCCGCCCTTGTTCTTGTTCGGCGTTGTGTGTGTTCATTTCATAGTCGGGCAAGCGATACGAGTCGTTTCAGTTGATCATAACGTTCCATGGCCGTGTGTTAGTGAGCTGAATTTATATTTGTGCCAAAGTTGATCTAAGATAAATCAATTAGACTGGATTCAAAATGAATGTATGGAGCTTTGGTCCAGGCCTGGCACTAGATAACATTTATCAAATATGCCTGTGTAGGTATAGTATAGCATATGGTGCTGAGAACTTGACATAATTATCAAACTTCCTGTGCAATTCCCGCTATCGCTCAACTAATTTCCGCTGTATCGTTCATGAGTAACACTATGATTTCAAAGTAACGCATTTTCAATGCATATTCGTGGTTATACGAGCTCATTATCGTTTAAAAAGTCGCGGCAGTTCACGTCAATCATTTACTTTCTGTTCAAACTGCGCAACGCAAATTTAACGCTGAATGTATCAATGAGATATTCTGATTATAATTTTACTCGAAGCCCTTACTATATTTACCAAAAACTGACATATAACACGAAGAAATGCATTGACATGCCGCGATTTATGGACATAAGACACGTCGGATTTGGCCATGGGGGTTGAATTTTATTTTAAATTCGCAAAGAGGTAAATTAGGGTATAACAGCTGAAAACTCTTGCTTTAAATTCCGATAACAGCGGACAAAGGCGAGATAGGTTACTGATTATTTTTCGCATTGGTATTTCGTTGGCAATGGTTAGAATGGGAAAAACCTGATGCCAGGGTTATTCTAGTTCAGAACGACAAAAAATTTCAACTTTCGTTTCCTGGAAAGTAATGGTTTGTTGACGTAAATCGTGCAGATATCGTTTGAATTTTTTGATCGAAATAAAGTTAAAAGAGTTTTTATGTCGTTTACTCACTGTTGAATCAGTCAATGATCACACACTCGGGAAATATCCGTGATTATAGTCGTGTTATGAAACGCGGTCTTTCCCTGATCACTGCGCTTCATCAACAGCTAGTTGCCATTCAATAAAGGCAGCTGTCATATTAAATAAATACTATGAAGTCATTTGTCCTTTTCAATAAATGAGAAATATTGGATGCATTGGGGGTAAACCTGGTAATCTAAGTAAAGTGGAGAACCGCTGCTATAAAGTGATATCGGGTTCGGGTTAAATTCGCCCTAAAATCCTCACAAGGTAGATTTCCCACAAAAATATTGTTCGCGTGTGTTTGATACATGGGTGGGCAAATTACGGCCCGCGGGCCGCCGAAGTGTTTTATCCGGCCCCATTGTGTTTCTGTTAAAATTACATCTATAATTTTTTGAATATAAATTTACATTGAGAATGGGCGCGGCGGTGTGGCTCAACGGGCTAAGCGTTAGGAATACGCTCGCCACCGCACCTCTAATTACTCTGCATGGGTTCGCAGGTTCGAATCCCATGCAGGGATGGTTATGTGCGAGAGGATTGCTGGACTCCTCGCCGTCGTTGGGTGGTTCACGTAACCGCTGGTCGGTTACGGCTTCCACCACCACCAAGTCCATGCTTCCGAAAACAAACAATATAACTAATCCCATACCCGACTTGGAATGGTAACCGGACGAGAGGCCGTAGTTCGCCATATGGATAAGCCGTCTTATCGGCTTTCCTCTCCCCCCGGGATAAATATGTAAATCCTATCCTATCCTATATCGATGAAAATTACGTCATAATAATCCCCGATTGTTGCATTGTGCTTATTATATAAAATTATAAACGTTAGCCTAGCTGTTGTATATAAAATGTTTTTATTCATAGTTTTTCTTATCTAGTTTTCAGCTTTTGGCCCAGTAACTAAGTCCATTATTTGTAACTGGCCCATCCGGAAAAATAATTGCTCACACCTGGACGTCAGCCAATCAAATTTGAAAACGGGGTACCGAATGACGTGGCGATATCTCTGACATACCACGAATATTCAAAAATATAGAAAAAACTTTATTCCAACTTTTAGAATCCATGCTCTTAACTCATGTTAGCAGTTAACAAAAAAGTCAATTTACTACACAGCTCATTGTTAGAATTGTCTTTGTCACTGTTAAAGCGTTCGACCTAATATATATTATACTAAGCTTGTCCGGGTCTTTCGCTCCTAACAAGGCACTGTACAGCTAACGATATTTATTGAGTTACAATTATTTGATCAATCTTCCTAGTTCGGCATTGTCGAACCAATTTATTACACCATGGGTGAGGTGGGCCAGGGGCGTGTCAAACTTTCTGCTGCCCGGGGGGCGAGTTTCTGGTAATGATGGCCCTTATATCTAACTTTAAAACTAATTTGTGAGATTATTCGGAGTTTTGCTTGCTTCGCAATTCGCATGAATCAACAGACGTAGTGTAATCTGCAACAATTGACACTGTCTATTGCGTTATCTTTGAGTTCGACAGCAATGCAGTAAGACGTGAGCGAAACTAAAACGATGGCTCGTAGACAGTATCCTAAGCAAAGAAATGGGGAGTGCATCATCTAATATTGCATAAATCGTTGTGGCTCTCTCCATTCGCGTAGTTTATTTTGAATCTGTTGTTATTTTTATATTTGTGTAAAATTATATTTACGTGTAGCGAATGTGGAATGCAGTGGCGGCGCGTCAATAGCGCCAACCGGGGCAATGCCCCGGTTGTTTTTTCGGTATAATAAAAAATATTCGAAAAATACTTCAATATCGGTTGCACAGACTGTCTACACTAGCCATATTCTCCCGACATGGTTCATTTTTCGCTCGCAAAGCCTTCGCCGAACGTCGACGGGGCGAAGCCAATTTTGCCCCGGTTGCTCATTGTATATCGTATTCTCTCTTTTATCTTCCACTCGCCGCGTTTGTCTCGTTTGTTTTCTGTTTCTTTTACTAAATCATCGGGGCCGATCGGGGCTAGCCCCGAAATTATGACGACACAATGCCGACGTTTCTTACAACAACGTGTTGACATATTCACGCATTCCTTCTCGTTCGTTGGTTGCTTGAAGAGTTGATAGTTTCCTCGCCTTCGTTTTTGTCGCTTGTTTCGCTATTTGAATCAGTCAGTGACCTTTAGTCCATTTGCTTTCGATTTTCCACATTCCTTTTGAGCTCCTCACTTCTCTCCGGCTTCGCATTTCTTAGCCTTAGACCTCATAATGAATAAGCTTGATGCACTACTTCGCACTCCGTTTTCGCAGCTGCCGCTGGAACAAAAATTAGAGGTATAACGTCTTGGGCCTTATCAACCAAAAAATTGTTCACTGGAACAATCCCATGACGGAGGAAAGCGTCGGCGTACATTCTGCGCAGAAACTTGGTATAAAAAACACGAATGGTTGTGTTACAGCGAGGACAAAATTGCACTTTTTTGTTTTTATTGCCTACTTTTTGCTACCGCCCGTGACTTACGTTGGTGTAAATTTGGTTTTAGAGATCTTAAACTTCTTTCCGAGCGTGCCAGGGATCATCAATCTTCTATGGAGCATCTGGACAATGCAGTAAATTACCGAACATTCGGAAATGTTAATATTGCAGCACAGTTGTATGAATGACGCGCGGTTTCTATCCGTCGGCACAACCAAAACGTCGAGAAAAACCGCCATGTTCTCGGTCGATTGATAGATGTTTTGAAGTTCATTGGTTGTCACGAGCTGTCCCTCCGTGGGCACGATGAACGGGCTGGCTCTTCTAATAGAGGGGTATTTTTGGATATGG